AACATCTGAAAAGATGAATAAATCAGGGTGCTCTTTTTCCTGGCTCCACCACTACCAAGAGGTTATCGCCAGACTCTTGACTGGCCTTCCCGATTCCTCCCTGTGTGGCTCTCTTCAAAGCTTGAGTCAGATGGTGTCACTCCTCTGCTCAAAACCTTCTAATGGCCCCCATTTCACTTAGAATAAAGTCCAGTGTACTTACTGTGCAAAGTCCTATCAGTTCTGTTCCCAGCTACCTCTAGCTTCATCTCCTATCAACTACCCTCTCATTCTCTTTAGCCACCCTGGCTGCCTTGATGTTCCTCCAACTGATCAAGCACACTCCTACCTCAGGGCCTTTGCACTTACTGCTCTTTCTTCTTAGTGGTGTGCTGGTAGATATTTAACAAGTGGCTCTCTGAAAGGAAAAGAAAACTCTGATTTGTAGCCATTTGCTGATTTCTGTGTACAGATGCTCTCACCAAGGCGGATTTCAAGCTACCAACTTGACTTCACTGAACACAGAGTTGGGATGAGATGTGTGTAATTAGAACAAGTGTGGGCCAGCGCCAGCACACCACTGCCTCTTCCTCAAACTCTTTCCCCACACACCACCCTCAGCTGGTGGCTGCCTTACTTCCTCCAAGTCTCTGCTCAAACATCATCTTAGTAGAGATCCATTTGCTGACCACTCTTCCTAAAATAGCACATAGATCCCCACATTCACACCTCATCTGTCCTCATTCTTTAGTCTCCTTCTCCTGCATTATTGTTGTAGCACTTACCACCACCTGGCGCAGTTATTATCATCGATTTCTTCCCATTAGAATGTAAGCTTCGTGAACAGGTGCTTCTTTCATTCAAGGACTTATCTCCAGTGTCTAACACGTAGGAGGAGCTCAATAAATATTTGCTTTCAAATGAAAGAGGTTAAGAAACCTGCCCAGATCACACAGCTATTCAGTGGCAGAACAGGCACTCAAGCAATGAAACTGGTAGTCTTAACCAAGCTAAGATGCTGTTACTGCCGATGCCTGAATCAGGCCCTCAGTAATGAATAGTAGGCAAATGTTAAATATTTGTCAAAGTAAAAAGCTAAGTAGAGTGAACATTAACTGCAAGAGCTTTTGTGGAAATGACTAGAGACAGGGCAAGGAACTAAACTGGTTCCCCCATACCTCCCTTCTAAGACAATAGAAGCTATCAAGGGAAACCTGGGCTATAAGTAGATTATCAGACATGAGACATGATGGACAGGGTGGATTATTATTATTATACCCATTATGCAAATAACACCCAAGCAGATTTTTTAAATGATTAATACCTAATTTTGTAAAAATAATAAAATGGGAAAGTAAGATTCACTCCACAACTAACCACAGATGACATTTGAGATGTTCCAGATTTTTTCTATGAATACACTTTTTTTAGAACTAGTGTAATACTGTACATAACTTTACCTGCTTTTTTCAATTAACAATATGTAAGCATCTTTCTATGTCAATAAACATACCTCTGCATATGTTCAGTGGCTTTAATTCAACTTGTTCTCTACTGTTGGACATTTGTATTTGCTTTCTATTTTAAATGTCAGTCAATCTTAGATAGAAATTTGTGAACAAAACTGTTATGTGCTTAATTAGAATAAATTCCTAGAGGTGGAATCTGATTAAAAGGATATAGCAATCTGTAATCTTACCAACAGTTTCTCCAAAGTTTTGCCACCACTGTGCATTATTCTTTTTAAAAAAAATTTAATTAATTTATTGATTTATTTTTGGCTGCGTTGGGTCTTCGTTGCTGCACGTGGGCTTTCTCTAGTTGCGGTGAGCTGGGACTACTCTTTGTTGTGGTGTGCGCGGGCTTCTCATTGCAGTGGCTTCTCTCTTGTTGAGGAGAACCGGCTCTAGGCGCACGGGCTTCAGTAGTTGTGGCATGCAGGCTTCAGTAGTTGTGGCTCGCAGGCTCTAGAGCGCAGGCTCAGTAGTTGTGGCACACGGGCTTCGTTGCTCCGCGGCATGTGGGATCTTCCCGGACCAGGGCTCGAACCCGTGTCCCCTGCACTGGCAGGCAGATTGTGAACCACTGCGCCACCAGGGAAGCCATGTGCATTATTCTTACAGCATCATAATACCTCACACTTACCAAACACTGTTCTAAGCACATGATGAGTATTAACTCATTAATTTCTTACTGAAACCTCATAAGGGAGATACTCTTATCCCCGTTTTACAGATGGAAAGTGGCTGGGCTGGGATCGATCCAGCTTCAGAGCCCATGCTTGTGGCATAGTGACTGGTAGGCCCACAATGGCAGGATGTGGCTGACTGAACTTAAAAGTTGGCTCCACCAGTTACCTATTGTAAGGCTTTAAAAAAATTTGCTTAGTGTCTCCCTTCCACTTTTTTTTTTCTTAAACCTGTGAAGTAGGTACAAGAGAATATCTCATAAGATGGTGGCCTTTTTTTTTTTTAACAAAAAGGAAATTTATTGTGTCACAAAACAAGAAATCCAGTGATAGTCTGGTCTACAGTTATTTGATGCAGTAATTCAGTGATGTTCCTTGCTTCTCTTTGCTATCCTTGACGTGCCGACTGTACCCTCAAGAGCTGGCTCCATTTATGGCCACTAGGCCAGAGTTCCAGGAATCATATCCAGTCACAAGATATCCATGTTCCAAAAGAAAGCAGCCATCCTTTCATGTACCTCTTTTTTAGAATGAGAAATCTTCTTTCCAAAAGCCTACTAACAAGACTTGGCTTGTGCCTCTTTGGGAAGGTTGTCACATGCCCATCCCCAAGCCAATCACTGGCAAGGATCTTCCATGAACATATGGTGAGGAATCAACCACAAAGATTCCACCATTAAACTTCTGGGAAAAGTCTACCAATCAAAAGATAGTAAACCTGTCTTTCTTTCCTCAGGACTGTGAACCACTGATGTTTAAGATGTATTACTTTATTGGCATCAAGAGGAAAAAAAAGTTTCACGAACATTTATCGTACATTCCGAGTGAAAGGCACCATGCCAGGCACTGAGGAAAATACAAATGGAAGACTCAACCTCTTCACTTGTCTTTCCTACCACAGTAGTGGACTCAGGCACAGGAATACGAGCTACTCTGCAAGGCAGTTTGTTTTATAAGTACCATATTTGATGCACAGTTAAAGTATTAGGAGAATAGATAGAGGAGATTCATTAAGAATATTTTTGCTTCAAAGACCATTACACCTAATTTTCTGATTTATGACTGTCAAAGAGCCATAGAAAGATAATACACAAGGTTGAAGAGAACATTTCATCAGCCTTAGCAGGAACAGAATTGTTCTCCAAATGGCGGCCATCACCTCACACCAAAGCATCAGGCAGAGAACCCACAGGGTCAGACCAACCAAAGCACAATGGTGATTTAATTTCCAAGAGACTGTAGAGCACACTGCTTACAAACAAAACAGCTTTTTAATTAAGGTATAACATACATAAAGTGCACCGATGTTAAATGTATAACTCGAGAAATTTTTGTGTGTGAGTGGCAGTAACTCTTAAACATAAAACACTCAGAATAGTGGCTGACACATAAAAAGGGCTCAGTTAAGTACTAGCTGTTGTTTGATCTGCCACTTTGAGAGGTAAAAAATACAACATTGGTTTCATTTGCATTTCTTTGAGAAATGGGACCGAACATTTTTTTCCTGTGAATTACCTGTTCAAGTCCTAAGGCCTTTTCACTATTGAGATACTAGTCTTTTTTTTTTTTACTAATTTGAAAGAGCCCATTATATAACACTCACTCTTGCCTTACAATGAAATTATTTTTCCCAATTTGTCCCTTGACTTTTAAATTTCTTTGCCACCCACTAGTTTTAAATATTTATGAATTTTATGCTTTCTTTTTTTTTTTTTTAATAACTCTACATTTTTTTTTTATTTTTTTTGGCTGCATTGGGTCTTCATTGCTGTGCACGGGCTTTCTCTAGTTAAGCTGAGTGGAGGGCTACTCTTCGTAGCAGTGCACAGGCTTCTCATTGCAGTGGCTTCTCTTGTTGTGGAGCACGGACTCTAAGCATATAGGTTTTAGTAGCTGCAGCGCGTGGGCTCAGTAGTTGTGGCTCACAGGCTTAGCTGCTCTGCAACATGTGGTAACTTCCTGGACCAGGGATTGAACCTGTGTCCCCTGCATTGGCAGACGGATTCTTAACCACTGTGCCACTAGGGAAGTCCCTACATTTTTTGGTTTGAGGGCCTGCACCATTTTACATTCCCACCAGCAATTCACAAGGATTCCAATTTCTCCACATCCTAGTCAACAGTTGCTATTTTCTGTTTTGTTTATTTTTATAATAGCCATCCCAATGGATGTGGTAGTATCTCATTGTGGTTTTTATTTGCATTTCTCTAATGTCAATGATATAAAAGCACATCTTTTCATGTGCTTATTGGACATTTGTATTTCTTCTCTGGAGAAATGTCTATTCAAGTCCTTTGCCCATTTTTAAACTGGGTTTTTTGATGAGTTGTGGGAGTTCTTTATATATTCTGGATGTTAACCCCTTATCAGAGATATGATTTACATGATATAAACATTCTTAAATGATACACTAATTTAAAAGGGGGTGGCGGGGTGGGATGAACTGGGAGATTGGGATTGACATATATACACTAATATGTATAAAATGGATAACTAATAAGAACCTGCCGTACAAAAAATAAACAAATAAAATAAAATTCAACAACAACCAAAAAAGGGCTAGAGGGGACTTACTTCCCTGGCGCTCCAGTGGTTAAGACTCTGCACTCCCAATGCAGGGGGCCTGGGTTCAATCCCTGGTTGGGGAACTAAGATCCCGCATGCCGCACAGTATAGCCATGTTCCAGACAAAGTCACCAGCCTTGTGGAAATTCCATTCTAGTTCATATTTCAGAGCCCCCAAAACTCCAGGCTTTAGTTTAGTGGTATCATTCACTGGGAGGATGAAAACAGGGGATGATCTCTTTTTTTTTTTTTTTTTTTTTTTTTTTTTGGGGATGATCTGAAGAGGAAGAAATTGAGTTCCATTCACAGTCTAGTTCAGATGGCAGCCGAATGAATACTCAGTAATGGAAGACTTTAGGGAAACAGTTTCAAAAGCCAAATTGCAGAGGGCTGAAAAGTTAGGAGTTTAAGCAGATGGTATAGACTACTCTAAAGCAGCTTTGGGACAAATGACGGAAACAGATGGGATGGTTGGGGTGTGACAGAATGAGAGGTCTTGGTAGGTCAAGTGAAGTAATATGTTGCCATGAGAGTGTGGTGGAAGTATTCCTGGGATCCGGTGGGTAAAGTGAAGTCGAGAGGACCTAAGACCTAGACCAGTGATTCTCAAACTTGACTCTATGCTCTTTTCCTTTGTAATTTCAAGCTTTGATGTTCTGCTTTAAAAAAAAAAAAAAAAACTTTGCCCAACTATGTTATTAAATATTCACCTATATTTTAGTATGAAACTTATAATTTCTTTATATTTAAACCTTTAAGACATACATAATTTATCTTAGTATCCAACTCTGTTTAAAAACAGCCATCCCTGACTCTGTATATTAAATAATTCAACCATTTTACACTTACTTCAAACGACATCCCTATCACATATTAAATTTTTGTTTTTCCTTTTCCTCCTATGTCATAAGAATGTCCAGAGGAACTGAATTTAGTTGACTTCTTTAACTGTATAGAATACCTAGTTGTATTATAGGAGAAGGTCATGGCAGGAGAGAAATATAATTCTACACACTAGTATATATTTCTAGACTGACTAGTCTCTTTCACTGACCATCAGACTATTTCTACTAGGCTTTGTATTTCCGGTGAAGGTACACTTTCATATCCACATGGATACCATGGCTTAAAATGCCCTGTACATCCTCAATATACCTGTAAATTCATTTATCTACATCATTCGGTGCCTACCGTGTACCATGCACCAAGCTAAGGAGTGAACCAGACAAATGCAACTCTTCCCACAATGTGGCATAAATATTATCTAGTAGAAGACAATCCTTAAATATTCACACCAATAATTCATCACACCTGTGTTTGGTGCTACAAAGTACAGCATAATACCCTTTGCAGCTGAGAAGTCTCCTTTCCAGATCTGTTCACTTCTGCATACTTTGAGTGCACAGCCAATTTCCAATTCCCAATGAAAAATACCAGAAGGAACTTGGAGAATTATCTTCAGAGTATTTACAAGATGTCGTAGGCTAATGAGAGGAGCAGGAGAAAACAGTTAAAACAAACCCCTATAATATTAGGCAACAAAGTCCCATCAGCTCAATGCGCTTGGAGACAGTCCTTTAAATTCTCAGGTCTATATCCTGAGCAAAGCCAGTCCCATGGCAGATGAGATCCCAAACAAGTTAAATAAGATCAAGAATGTGGCAGAAAGGCAACTCCAATGCAGGATCATTTTGTCTTTTGAAAGAGAAAACCTGTTACTACCTTTTTATGTACTGTGCCCTATTTTCCTGGGGTGTCCCTATTCTCTACAATTAATAGGTTTCAAAACTGTGGGCAACTGGGAGGAATAATTTTAATAGCTGAAACAAACAAAAAAATTCCTTTATGAGAAAAAGAAAAAACAAAACCAAAAAAACCACAAATTTTTCCAACCGGCAAATTCTACATGCATTGAGAGGCTACAGAGTCACTGACAGTGATTAAACCACAGAGCACCAGTTTTCCAGCACAAACTGGAAAGGATTTTTTTTAAATTAAAGTAGATATGTCTGAGGGCATCTAAATATAAGTAATTCTTTTCTTTGTAAAAAATTTCTCCCTCGGGGTGGGATAGGGAGCGTGGAAGGGAGACGCGAGAGGGAGGGGATATGGGTATATATGTATACATATAGCTGATTCACTTTGTTATAGAGCAGAAACTAATACAACATTGTGAAGAAACTATACTCCAATAAAGATGTTAAAAAGTTCCCCCTCACTGGACCCATTTTGATGGTAACAAATAAATGTGACTTTATAATAACCTAAAAAAAAACCCAACCTAGGTTGTTTTATCCAAGAGGCCAATTTTTTTTTTTTTTTTTTTGCAGTACACGGGCCTCTCACTGTTGTGGCCTCTCCCGTTGCGGAGCACAGGCTCCGGACGCGCAGGCTCAGCGGCCATGGCTCACGGGCCCAGCTGCTCCGCACATGTGGGATCTTCCCAGACCAGGGCATGAACCTGTGTCCTCTGCCTCACCAGGCGGACTCTCAACCACTGTGCCACCAGGGAAGCCCCAAGAGGCCAATTTAAAACAAAAACAAATGGGTAACTTGTATTTTTACTTTAAAATAAGTTTGAGATTTCTGAAGTCTATGCTGATGAAAGAAGATGCCAACAAATTCACTCATCACCATACATAAAGTTAAGCTTTCTAAACTAAATCTCTTTAGCATGAGATCAAAAACAGTCTGCTCTTAGAAGATGCCCAAATGCTATCTCTTCCAACTCTTTAAAAGCCAGCTTCTGTTTCTCCAAGAAGCAAAATACATTCAATATTGCAAAAAAGCACCACAGGTATCTGAAATGCAAAATAACCGGCAAGCCACATTCTTTTTCACAGAATTAGCAGGCATCTATCACCTGTTTCTCAGATTGTTTATTTCCCTGCTTCTTTTTTTTCACTGGCAGGATGGTCCAGAACCTCTATTTTGCCTTTTCCATCTTCTGAATGAGGAAGCTTAATGGTATCGATGGTAACTTCACCTTCAGAAGAGGTGCTATCATCTTCATCCTCAAATTCTGAACTGTCCTCTGAACAGTCTTGTGAATTCTCTTCTGAACTGTCCTCTTCTTTTGAATCAGACTGATTCATCTCAAACAAGGCCACATCCTGCAAAACACCACCATGTGGGAAATTTATTTCAGGGCAGTTCCCTAAAAAGTTACAGTAACAACTTTGGGAAGGGACCAACCTTTGGCCCAAGAGGCACGCAGGACAGAAAACATTCTTCTTTTTGGCTGTGCCACGTGGCTTGCAAGATCTTAGTTCCTTGACCAGGGCTCAAACCCAGGCCCTCAGCATTGAAAGCATGGGGCCCCAACCCCTGGACCGCCAGGGAATTCCCCCGGACAAGAAAAGTTCTTAATACAATATGGCACTATTATTCTTTCAGTTGCCAGAGTCCACCATAATGATTTATATTTACTGCAAGTCTAAAAAGTCCCCCACAACCGAATTCTATATATCCTGATTATATTCAACACAATTCACTCAACAAATATTAACAAGTATCAACATGAACCAGGTACCACACTAGTGGCTCAACAACAAAATCCTGGCCTTTGTGGAACTTATGTTTTTGAGGAGGAGTTGGCAAATCACGGCCTGCAGGGCAGACCCAGCCCACTGCCTGTTTTCGTGCAGCTCTGAGCTAAGAATGGTTTTTACACTTTTCAGTGGTAGAAAAAGCTAATCAAAAGAGTAGTATTTCATGAAACATGAAAATTATATGAAATTCAAATTTCAGTGTCCATAAATAAAGCTTATAAAACTTGCCTATTCATTACATATCACCTGCAGCTGCTTAGACAGCGAAATGGCAGAAATGAGTAGTCACAACGGACACAGTAGGGCCCACAAAGCCTAATGTATTCACTATCTGGCCCCCAACAGAAAATGTTTGCTGACTTCTGTTCTAGTTGGGAAAGAAAGACAATAAACAATTACACAGAAAGCATAGTGTAGGGCAGTGAAAATTTAAAAAAATAAAAGCTAATAATAGAGCCACCGAGAAGGCCTCTCAAGGTGACAAGTGATGAGAGATGGAAGGAGTCAAGATGCAGGAATCTGGGGAGGGGCATTCTGCAAGGAGGGAAAAGGCCCGGAGCAAGGAGATGGAGACTGCAGTGCAGTCACTGAGGGTCCTTGGTGGGAGACAAGGTCAACAGAGAGCTGGAGGCAGGATCACACAGGCCCACGGAGGACTCTGAATTAATCAGAAACGTGACGGCAAGCCCCCTGGTTCCCAAACTGCAGGCCACACACACTGGGTGAAGAACAGACTCTGGGAAGAAAGGGTGGAAGCAGGAAGACTGGTTGGGAAATGACCGGGATAATCCAGAGGGGAGACCGTAATCACCTAGAGAAAGGGTGGTGGATGCCGTGTGGAAATGGCTGGATTTGGGATGTGTTCTGGAGGTAGAGCTGCCAGATCTGCTGATGAATCAGATATGATTCTCAACAATGGTGTCAGCGCTGTCCAGACACGAGTGTCATACAGGGAATTCCAGTGTAGAAATAAGATATGAGCCTGAATTGAGAGACAGTTTTCACGTGTGGCTTATGTGATCAGTTATTCTGTTATACACATCATTTACTTTTGCATTCTCAATGAATCAGACTATGATTACCTCTTTTGGGCCTTAGATGGGAAAATAAGAAAAAAATCCAGTTAGAACACTTAGTAAATAAATGCTTCAAGATAACAAATGTACTATTTGACTTGAAAAAGGCCTTCCTATGATGCTGAATTACTAAATTCCTAAACTTCACCCAGGGAAGCTTACTGACCTATGAGATCCTTAATCATCAAATGACCGAGTATCTATGCAGTACTGGAAACATGAGCTGACTTTGAAAGAAGGAAAAAAACACGCAGAATTAAAATTTTAAAGTTCTCTTTTTCAGGTGACGAGGCATACTGGTAATTTTACATTACGAAATGAAAACAAAGCATAGTTACCATTTGTATAACTTTTCCGACAGTCTCGTCAATATTTTCAATATTGAAATGACCAGGTGGTGCAGCTGCCATTTCTTTCCTTAGCTTTTCGTTTGCCTGAGCCATCTGTGGGAGAAAGCTCTGTACTTGGTCCAATACTAAGGAGGGAAAATATAGTTTATCAATATTTATGTTAGTATTTGGCCAAACTTCAAATTTTTAAATCCAGAATTTCCTGTAAAAACACTTCTAAATTTGACAGGAATAACAATAATTATAATAAAATCTTTCAAGTTCCTTCCATTTTACAAACTCCCATCCTCTCCTGAATTCTTAAAACGGTAGGACTACACGATTCTGCAATTATTTCTCAATGTTTTGTGTTTCTCATATATGCCCAGGACTGGAAATTCCTAGAAGGCTGGCATTCCACAAACAGTAACTGAATAAGTCGGCAGCAGGACTTAATAGTTGAATGCACGAGGCCCCGAGGCTTTGGGGTCACACCGACGATGATAACAGGACCCCAGTACCACCTCTTACTATCTGGGTTATCTTGGGCATGTTAATGAAGCAATGGCTGTTTTCACCTGCCCAACATCTGTTCCCCTTTCTTCTGATAATGTAACGATGACTTGCCTTTTAAGCTCTGTCACACTTAGTCAGTCTTGTCCCTACCCCATTCATGCCGACGTGTTCCACAACCTTGGCCACTATGATTTGGTTTAACGACACTGTGATCTGTCAGGCCAATCAGAGATCACCCTGGGACTCTGGTTGGAACTGTTGAGAGAAATATCCCTTCTTTCCAAGTAAATGACTAAGTGAGCTGCTGAATGTAAGCCTGGAGCTGCTGATAAACTGGCCCACCTGCCACCCGTCCTGGACGAGCTTGTTCTAGATGAAGTCAACACCTAGGAAAGCAGAACTAAGAGATACAAAGCAGAAGATCCTGGATGATGCCAAGCACCTGGATGCAGATGTACCTGAAATCACTGGGGTATTTTTCCCCAACAAAATGAGCCAACATCGTTTGGCTGAAGGCAATGTGAACTGGGTTTCAGTCATTTACAACCACAGAAGTCTAACTAATACGTTTAGTTTAATCAGTCAAAACCTGTTTACTCACCTGTAAAACAGGGATGATAACTGAAAGGCACTATGGTAAGCACAGGGGAGTCAATAAACAAGGAATTTCTAATTTCTTTAGCTCTAAAAAGAGGCCCGGCACATAACTATGCAGATCATGGGCCCTCAGAACTCCTTAAGTCACTGATACAACCACAGAACAGCTGACTGAAATGTCCAGAGTACGGAAGAAGAGAAGAAAGTCGAGGTGAAGGTCAAGAAATGGCCTTTAATTGTGAAACAGGACGGCTGGAAGGATTCCAGATGGCATACCCAACTTGGAAAAGAGTTTGGCAATTTTTTCTTTATTAAAGAATACTTTTCATATGACCCACAAATTCCACTCGGAGATATGTACCCCCCCAAAATAAAAACCTATGTCCACACAAAAGCTTGGATTTGAACGGGGAGCCGCCATGCAGCCATTTTAGCTCGTGTAGATTTAGTGCACACTATAGTTAAGTTCCCCTCTCGGAATACTCGTCATTTCTTAGTTTATAGACATGATAACTTCATGCATCATTTACATTGTTTTTACTACTCCTTGTCTTTCTTTTTTTTTTTTAAACATTCAGAGTGAATTACACAGCACCTGAGTATTACATGAATGCTACCTGAACAAAGTCTGAGTGGTCTATGAGCGTGCAGTACAGCAATATGACACAGTAATTAATGAAGAGAACTAGCCCTGTTATGAGTAACATTTACTATTTAAGTAATTATGTCCAATTTAATGGGATCTGATAGTGTTTTCCCACACATGAATACTGAATTCGGGACTCAGTAACCTCTAGAAAAATTTCCCATGGAGAGTAACAATAATTGGTTTTGATTTCCAAAACTCCATCCCACAAGGATTTTTTCTGGGCAAGGTTACCCTCTTAAAGCAGGGGAATAATGTATTATCCCTGTGCACTGAATTCACAACATAATTCCCAAGTAAGACTTGCTCGGCTTCACCCTCTGTGGTTTGATATCTGACAACAAAGGCAGATACTGTCCCATCAAATAAGCGTTTAATTAGGCAGAATTTCACATCACAGAGGGTTCTTGAGAGAGAGAGAAAGGAAGAGAGAGAGAGGGAAGAGTACTTACGGGGACTCCTCTCTATTCGAACTGTTTGAAGAGTGGAATTCTTTCTGGAATTAGGCTTGGAGTTGATGAGCAACCTGTCCCATATACCTGCAAACACACACACTTCATTTACTATAGCATAAAGAAACAGGAGCCCATCAGCAAACTTTCCAAGACCACCCTCAAGCCCTCAGGTTTTGACCATTTGTTTCTCACTTCCCAACACATTTTTTAAAAAAAGAAGCACTCCAAGTTCCATTACAACATTTTAGTTCTGCACACAGATCTCCCCTTTCTTAAATCTGTCTCCTACATCTCTGCGTTACCCATGCCAGGTAATAAAAGAACACTGAACTGCACCTTTCTGGGTCAGAAACCCATCAATAACAAATGTGGGTCGGCAATGACAGAACACAAGAAGCGATACAAAGTACCATAAGAGTTAAGTGAAGCCAGAAATTGTTTACCAGCTGCATTATATTGGACAAATTACCTAAGCTTTCTGAGCATGAATTTCTTCATATATAAAACATGCCTGCCAGATTAGTCCCCCCTCAGTAAAGATGTCCAACCTAGACAAAACAGCTCTTTAAACCTCCCCACTCCCAACTCCATCTATTCAGCCTTACATTCACAACTCCTCAAATCAACCCAACTTCTCCAGCTCATCAGAGCTCAGAGAACAGGACTCGTCTTTCAAAACCCAAGGCTTTGCGCACCGTGTTTCCAACACCTCGAAAATCTCTTCACTCTGGTGTAAAAATCCCGTTCACCCTCAGAGCAGCAGCTCAACATTCCTTGCTTACTACCTTAGACCTGGCAATTGGACTAGTGCAAAGAGCACCGGCTCTGGAGCCACGCTGACTGGATTCAAATCTCAACTTTGCCACTTCCCAGCCACACCATCTCCAGCACGTTACTCATCTGTATGATACACCAGGTCTCAGTTTCCTCATCTATAAATGGCGATAACAAAGCCTTCTACACAGGGTGGTTGTGAGGCTTAAATTAGTGAATTAATTCCTGGGTCAAAGCAGGCACTAAGAAAGCTTCGGCTATTATTATGACAACTTCTCTGGATGCTCTGGATTCTCATAGAATGTTTTCTTCAAAATAGTATTTAAGGAGAATATGCCCAAGACTTTTAGGTGTATTCTTCTTAGAAAAAAAAAAAGAAAAACAAATTCTATAGATACTACTACTTCTATTTTCCCAATGTAAAAACTGAGGCGTTGGGAATGTAAACAACTCTCCTAAAGTTCCATAGCGAATAACTCGTGGGGCTGGGATTCGAATCCTTGCTTTTTAATTCTCTATTATGGTGTCTGAAATCCTGTGCGGATTTCCTGTACCCGTCTTCCTCTAGAGAGAGGCACTAAGGGTGGCTCTGTGGGCATCTGCCGAGGAAGGGTGGTTAATACTCATCCGCTCCCCTTACCAGTCAACTGCTGGGACCCAGAGCCGACCATAAGGCCGTCCCCTTAGGGAAGGTGTCTTGCTGTGGCGCACACCAGTGGGCACTCACCGCGGTGCAGGATACAGGAACCACGCCCAGGCCCGAGGCCGGGTGCGCGCCCCCAGCCGCCCGGTCCCACACCGAGTCCTGCGGCCACCCCGGGGGTCCCTCGGTGGGGCCGGGCCTGGGCAGGGAGACGACGACCGGTCCCCGGCTGCTCCGGCAGCGCCACCCCTGCCGCACGTGCGCGCCCCACGCCGCCGCCACCCGCCCGTCACCTCCGCGGCCGCCGCTGCCCGCCGTCAGCAGCTCCCTGGACACCGAGACCCCGGAGCCGTCCCGGGAAAACGAGGAACAGCTCGCGTCGGGCTGGGATTCGCCGTGGGCCTCCATGCTGCTCGCCCGTCTTCAGAGCAGCCCCTCCAGGTCCGGATGCCGGAAAAAGGCTGGGGAAGGGGGCGGGGCCAGGACTACAATTAGAGGAAAGTCGGAGGGGCGGGGCGAGGGCGGGGCGAGGGTGGCCTGCGGCGAGGGCGGCCCCTAGCGGAGTGAGTAGGCCATTCCTATCGTGGGAAAAGGAAGGAGGAGAGTTTGGGGACCCTGTGATTGGATGAAAGAGCTGGCAAGCCTGGCTTTTTAGCTAAACCTGAAGAGCGCACGGTAGGGCTGCCTTCCTTTTCTTTTTTTTTTGTTTTTAATTGTGGTTAAAAAAAAACCACATAACACAGAATGTACCATCTTAACTGTTTTTAGGGGTACGGTTCAGAAGTGTTAACTCTACATTCTTATGTAACAGACATGTAGAATTTTTTGCAAAACTGAAACTCTATATCCACTGAGCAACCTCCCCATTTCTCCCTGACAATCACCGTTTTTTATTTTATTTTATTATTATTTTTTTTGCGGTACGCGGGCCTCTCACTGTTGTGGCCTCTCCCCTCTCAACCACAGCGCCACCAGGGAAACCCTGACAATCACCATTTTAACTTCTGTTTCTATGAGTTTAACTATTTCAGATACTTCATATAAGTGGAATCATACAATATTTGTCTTTTTGCAACTGGCAGATTTCACTTAGTATAATGTTCTCAAAGTTTATCCACGCTGTGGCAAGTAATAGTATTCCCTTCTTTTTGAAAGCTGAATAGGGGCTTCCCTGGTGGCGCAGTGGTTGAGAGTCCGCCTGCCGATGGAGGGGACACGGGTTCGTGTCTCGGTCCGAGAAGATCCCGCATGCTGCGGAGCGGCTGGGCCCATGAGCCATGGCCGCGGAGCCTGCGCGTCCGGAGCCTGTGCTCCGCAGCGGGAGAGGCCACAACAGTAAGAGACCCGCATACCGCAAAAAATGATAATAATAATAAAATAAAGGCTGAATAATAATCCATTCCATGCACATACCACATTTCCTTTACCCATTCGTCCCTTGATAGCTGGGTTGCTTCCTCCCGGATATTGTGAATAATGCTGCAATGAACATAGGTATGCAAATATATCTTTGAGGTACTGCTTTCAATTCTTTTGGATTTATACCCAGAAGTGTGATTACTGACTATATGGTAATTCTATTTTTAACTTTTTAAGAACTTTTGTACTGGTTTCCATAATGACTGCACTATCTTATTCCCACCAGTAGGGCATAAGCGTTCCAATTTCTCCACATCCTCACTAATGCTTATTTTCTTTTTCTTTCTTTCTTTTTTTTTTTTACAGTGGCCATCCTAGTCAGTGCGAGGTGATAACTCATTGTAGTTTTGATTTGCATTTCTCTAATGATGAGTGATGTTGAGCATCTTTTCATGTGTTCACTGATCATTTGTATATCTCCTTTGGAGAAATGTGTATTCACATCCATTGCCCATTTTAACTCAGATTGTATGAGTTATTTACATATTCTTATCAGATATATGATAATGTTTTGGAGAGATAGACCATTATGAACGTACAAGGACTCAGGAAATATTGTTCCCATACCCCTTTTAAAGAATTTACTAGAGAATACGATTCAGAAAATAATTGGAGAAATTCAACTTAAGTTTTGGTGGTGAGCATTTTACAGTAGAATTGGAGAGAAACAGTGAGAATAAGGTTGAAAGAATAGTATTTAATTTATATAGGTTTTGATAATATGGATATAACACCAATATGAAAAATGGGGAGGAAGCAGAGACTATATATGAAGAGAAAAGCTGACTTCTTTTTAAAAACTGGGACTAAAAGGGTAATACTTTAAGTTAGATGCTGGGGGTAAAGGAGAGAAGAGAAAGAGGAGATGACTTGCAAATTACAATATTGTTAATAGTGGGAAGACAATATAAAAAAGGGGGCGTACTGAATGGTATTGAGTAAAGATATTAGAACAAAATGAAAATATTTCTAAATACCCAAATTAATGAGATAGAAAGAGAGAGAGAAAGAAATAAAACAGACTTCATAGGAAAGACTTTATATGATTATGACAAAACTGAAGCAAAGCATATCAATTGTATCAATACATGCAATAGGGCTTAATTGACCTATAAAAAGAAAAGAATTTTCAGATTGGATAAAAAGTCAATATCCAACTCTATGCTGGATAGAAGAGACTTACCTAAAATATAAGATTAAAATGGTAAAAATAAAAGGATGGTGTTTTTAAAAATTTAAGTGTACTTGGTATATCTATAACCATTCTAAATAAAACCTAAATTTAAAAAAGGGTGGGGGGGGATCAAAGCCACAATGAGATATCACCTCACACCTGATAGAATGGCTATTATGAAAAAGACAAGAAACAGCAAGTGTTGGAGAGGATGTGGAAAAAAGGGAACACTTGAACACTGTTTATGGAAATATAAATCGGTGCAGCCACTGTGGAAAACAGTATGGAGGTTCCTTAGAAAATTAAAAATAGAACTATCATATAATCCACCAAGTTCACTTCTGAGTGTTTATCTGAAGGAAATGAAATCACTATCTCAAAAACATATCAGCACCTCCATATTTTGCAGCATTATTTCCAATAGCCAAGACATGGGAACAACCTAAGTGTCTATCAACAGGTGAATGGATAAAGAAAATGTGATACTTATATAAATTCAGCAATATAAAGAAGGAAATCTTCCCATTTGTAACAACGTGCATGGACCTCAAGGTTATTATGCTAAGCAAAATAAGTCAGACAGAGAAAGACAAATACTGTGTGTTCTCACTTATATGTGGAATCTAAAAAAAAAAACCAATAGAACACATAGGTACAGACTGGTGGTTGCCAGAGGATAGGCGTGGCAGTGGGTGAAATGGGTGAACTTCTAGTAAGATAAATAATTCCTGGAGATGCAATGTACAGCATGGTGACTATAGTTAACTATACTGTCTTGTATATTTGAAAGTTGCTGAGAGAAAAGATCTTAAAAGTTCTCATCACAAGAAAAATAATTTTAGGTGTGTGAGGTGATGGATGTTAACTTATTCTGGTAATCATTTTGCAGTACATACATATATCAAATCATTATGTTCTACACCTACAACTAATGTTATATACCAATTATATCTCAATTTAAAAAAAAGTAAACAGGGTCATGACTTTATTATTAGACAAGCAAGAATTCAGCCTTGTTCCCCCTAAAGGAAACAAAAAGACACTTTATAATGCTAAATACTGCAATTTGCAAAGAGGAAACTATCATTAATATCCATGTGCCCAATAAAACAGCAACGAGTATTATAAAGCAAACTGAAAAGGAATGCAAAGATAAATAAGCAGAAACTCTAATAATTGGAAATTTTAACACGCTTTCATAACAGAATAGACCTAACTGGACAAAAAAATGTGTGTGGATACAGAAGACCTAAACAAAATTGTAAACAAAGTAGATCTAATAAATGTAAACGCTGAATCCTGATAATAGAGATTAAACTTTCTTCTAAATCACATGGAAAATTCACCAAATTGACATATTATAGTCCACAAAGAAAATTTCAATACATTCCAAAAATGTAAATGATATAAGGGGCCTTCTGTGATCGCAATTCTATATAACTGGCAAATAATGACATTAAAAAAATCTCGTCCACCTAAAACTGTAAAAACACACTGCTAATCAATCCTTGCATCAAGAGGAAATAGTGAAATGAAACTGTGCCCCCCAAAAGCTAAGTACTGAAAAAGTCAAGCAAATGACAAACCACTAGCTAACCTAAACCAAGATAGGGAGTGGAGGAAGGCTTGAAGGTATAAACATATGAAATAAAAGGTAATGGAACAATAACCATAAAATCAGAGGAAATATATAAAAACTTATAAACACTACTTTGCACAACTCTATGCAAATAAAACTGAAAACCTGTATGAAACCATTTGAAATGGTTAATGTTCCATAAATATATAATTTACAAAATTTCCCCAGAATCAATAGCAAGTCTAAAGAGAGCAATTTCTACAGACATTACAGAGAAGGTTTTCAGAGCTCCCACATAAAAACACCATGCCCAGTTGGTTTTACAAGGGGCTTTCTATCAAACTTTTAAAGATCAGATAAATCTAATGCTACTTAAACTATTTCAGAGTATGGGAAATAAAAGGAAATTTCCCAAGTTCTAAGAAATGAATATAGCATTGATACCCAAACTTCACAATGATTGTACAAAAAAGAAAATTAGGGACTTCCCTGGTGGTGCAGTGGTTAAGAATCCGCCTGCCAATGCAGGCGACATGGGTTCTAACCCTGGTCCGGGAAGATCCCACATGCCGTGGAGCAACTAAGCCTGTGCACCACAACTACTGAAGCCCGCGCACCTAGAGCCCGTGCTCCGCATCAGGAGAAGCCACTGCAATGAGAAGCCCACGCACCACAATGAAGAGTAGCCCCCGCTCACCGCAACTAGAGAAAGCCTGTGCACAGCAACGAAGACCCAATGCAGCCAAAAATAAATAAATAAAATAAATAAAGTTTAAAGAAAAGAAGAAGAAAATTATACACCTGGCTTAATTGGGTTTCCCTAGAAAGCCAATATAGAGACGAGGTTCAAGTGCTAGTAGCTTGGGAGTCAGAGGGGGAAGGAGAAACGAGGAAGGAAGGGAACCAATAATGTGTTACTATCAAGCAAATTGTGGCTAAGGGCAACTGGAACTTAATCCTGCTGGGGAATTCCCAGAGTTATCCTGGGTGAGCCTTGGTATTTATCCACCAGCTCATGTTAGTCATTGGTTGAGGGCTGCTCCAACGGGGTGCAAATTTCCCAGCATTTCTGGCCTGCTCCTTGCTCTCTAGTTAAGTGGGCTCCACTGGCCAGAGAAAACCTTCAGGCAAAGAGTTGTAAATGCTGGTCATTGAAAACTGGGCAGATGTGTACACAAATACTAAGTGCCAACGTGGTTTGGGTGAGGCACAGACAGCCTTTACTCAAGACCAGTCTTAATTATGAATATTGATGCAACAAATTAAATATTAGCAAACAGAAT